GCAGCAGCAGCAGCAGCAGCAGCAGCAGCAGCTTTCCAGATGCCGAGAGTGGCTTCGCATATGTAATTGGTTCCGATTTTCTTTCTCTGTTACGCATAAATATATATATATAGTCAAATACATGTATAATATATTTATTTATGCTGAAGAGATTCTGGCACGGTGTGCACATATATAGTAACGATAATAGGAATAATTTATTATTTACAAGTTTATAATCATGTGAGACAAATTGAGTGAAAATATTGAACTATACCAAGTATATATAAATATACCAAAGAATATTTATTAATAAAATTCTTATAAACGTGATACCCGTTATTCTATATACCTCATTGTAAATCATGGTGTAGTTGTTTATTTGATTTAACAATACACATAATCTAAATACACAAATGTTTTAGTGCCGTATTGGCATTTCGACGGCCAGTACCACCACTCTTACTAACCAGAGTGAAATGGCTTGCATAACAATTGCACTTTCCCGATTAATGATATGTCACACCACACTTGTGGAGAATTTATATATACATGTATATATTATTATTTATCAAGAGTCCATAATAGAGATTGATAGAGATGATTTCTATCATGGACTCTTGATATATATATATATAGGGATAAGTAAAAATTAGAATAGAAATGGGCAGTTGAGATTGATACCGAACTTTAGGATTGTGAAGCTTCCCTCTCTGACTATTTTCAGCACTATAACCAAGAACAGGTGCTTTTAAGTCTTGCTTAGCCTACATTGAACCAGCTGGGAGGAGTTGGAATGGGGGCTGAAAGGGAGAAGACAGGCAACTTAGCATTCTGCAAGAAATTCCCATTTCACTTTGAGGTGCTGCAATCTTTAGAACACATCAAACTGCAAATTTATAATTAGCGTCAGGGGTAACGATTATAATTAATTGTAGGGTTGGGGTTGTAGTTAGTTTAAAAGTTAAGATTGGGTTTAGGGTAATGCTGCGGTTTGGTAAGCATAATCCCAATTCTAATACCAACTCTAACCTTGCTCACTAACCCTAATCCTAATTGTAACCATCCAGTAAACAATTGTATCAGCTCTCTTGTGCCTCTATATTCTAGATTCATTGGCTGGTATTTTTCATTATAAGTGTGGTACAGCATAATAAGAAATGCAAAAAATGTAAAATGTAATGCTACACAGCCTGCCTGATTAATGATTATGGCGCTAGCGATGTCATCAGAGGTCACAATGCCTGTCGTCTGCAGTACAAACATCAGCTGCTGTCCCAGCAGAGGGCGCTAGTGATGTCATCGCCGGACATGATTCCTGTCGTCTGCAGAGCGAAGAGGAGCTGGTCCCTCGCTGCACCGACGAAGCGATTCTGCAGAAATGCGGGCAGTCCACCCTTCCCATCCTCCAGAGTGTGCAGAGGAACTCGCATCACCCCTAACACCTAACAACATTGTATCATCATCCGTGAGGGCTTAGGCAGCATCCCTAACACCTAACAACACTGTATCATCATCCGTGAGGGCTTATGCAGCATCCCTAACACCTAACAACATTGTATCATCATCCGTGAGGGCTTATGCAGCAACCCTAACACCTAACAACATTGTATCATCATCCGTGAGGGCTTATGCAGCATCCCTAACACCTAACAACATTGTATCATCACCCGTGAGGGCTTATGCAGCATCCCTAACACCTAACAACTTTGTATCATCATCCGTGAGGGCTTATGCAGCATCCCTAACACCTAACAACATTGTATCATCATCCGTGAGGGCTTATGCAGCATCCCTAACACCTAACAACATTGTATCATCATCTAATAAGTATAATGATGACAGC